CTTATTCTATAAGCTATCAACATGTAGTTAACTTGTTGACCAATGTTTTAGCCTATCAATCAATTACAAATACATATAATGTCAAAGCAACATCTATAAAGCTTTTAAAAAGTACTTCTAAAAAATATTATAAAATAAATCTATTTTTATCTATTACTTAATCATATAAGTAAATATTAAAATAAATATATATGTCTATGATATATAAAATACTTGAGGTTCTTATGATATAATTAAATAGTGATTGAACTAAAAGTACCTATTAAATAATGATGACATTCTTGAAATAAATCCATAATAGTAAGAAATTATTTATTGTGGATCTTGTAATTGATTTTGGTTGCTAAAACTTTTTTTAAATGAAAAATTGTAAGATAAATTTTATTATTTATTTCTATTTGTGACAATATTATATTCAAGGCAAAGTCCATTACATTTTTTTCTATAAAAAAAATCTTAAAAATAATTACTATTATATAAGATTGAGAAAAATTTTAAAATTATCTTTAAAGCTTCAAATACTCCTTCAATTCCTTTCTTTCACTTAAATTTCTTTATAAAGGTCAAATATGTGAATGGATTTGAAACTTGAAAAAAAAAAAAAAAAAAAAATTATAATAATTGAAAAATATTAAAAAATATTTGACATTTCTTATTGTTCTAGAAATCTTCTTATGTATGATAGTTTGAATATAGTTTGAATCCATCATTAGGCCATCATTTTAAATGACGTATTCTAAAAAATCAACTTAAGTGGTATAAAATATATATTTTTCTATCTTGTCATATAATCATACATCTTTAATTTTGTGTAATATACAAAAAATATGAAGTTCATATTCTTTTATATTTTTAGTATAGATTAATTAATTATTTAAATAATAAATAAGACAATCATCCAAAAATTCTCAAAAAATATTATTTATTAGATGTTATAAAGTATTTGGCATATTTGTAAGTCGAAAAGATATGACATTTTATTCAAAATATATATGGATGATTTGAAATGAAATCTTCTAATCATCTTGTTCTTTAATGTGTACCAAGTTATATATTCTTCTTAGATCTATTTTTTTATAGATCTTGGCTTGATTCAATTGATCAAGAAGTCAAAAATATTAAAGGTAGAAGATTCCTATTCTTAATAATAATCTTCTTAAGCTATCACTATTCTATAGACATTTGTAATAATTTATTTTTTTTCTTTATAAATAAGATGAGAGCTATTATTAGAGATTTAAAATAGCATATGAAATTCTTATCTAAATTCTTATTAATGTACACCTTGAATTTAATTAATTCATCTTATAATAAATTATAGATCATTCCATATGACAGTTGAGCTTCTTCTTAAAGGCCAATTAAGCAATTATAATGACAATGCTTTCAAAGGATATCTATGTTTTTTCTAAAAAATGTCTTAATAATCTTGATACTAGCTTGGAATGTCAATTGAAGACTTTTTATCATTAAAAATTGATATGTATTTTTATAAATTCTTTTATTGTACAACTTTGAGACTATTAATGGCCTAATAATATGAATTTTTTTTTCCTATTATTATAATTAATTCAATGCTTATTATCAAGAATATACTTAATAAATAATTAAATATGATTTTAATTGCTAGAAATCTTTGTGGATTAGTTGGTGTTCTTAAATAAATTGCATATCCTAAATAAATCTCTTTGTTCCATTTTTCTTTAATACTATAAACCATTGATTAGAATAACGTGCCATAAATGATTTTAATATCTCTATTTTAATTCTTTCATTAAGTAAGTCTATTAACTTCAATAAATATGCTCTTAGTATTAGAATTGGTTAAAAATCCTATGGCTCATAAGAAATTGTAAGAATAGCTATAAGTACTACAATACTAAAATCAAATACAAATGCTTTATCATATTGTAAAAGTTTGAATTTAAAATATTTTTTCTCACTTTATTAAAATCCTTCACATCCAATCTTTAATCCATACAGCATGGTGTTTGCAGATTTATGTCCTATCTTATTAACATCTCTCAAATTAAGTTTCATAGATACTTAACTCATATTTTTTTAAAAATTGGATGGTAAAACCATAGATTTTAACCTTTTTTTGCTAATAATTTATAGTTAGTTTTAATCTATATTTCTTAATCATTTAGATTTTTATAATTTTTTAAATTTTATCATAATATTATTTAGAACATTCATCAATAATTATATCTCTTTTTTTATATCAAATAAAATATTTTAAAGATTTATTTTTCATCTACTTAAAAAGATATTAATCTATTTTTTTTTTTCTAATAAGATAGATTGGCCTTAATAACTATATCTTTAATTTGAAGTTAGAAAAATTCTATTAAATTATTTATATGCAATATTTTTATATTTTTATCCAATTATTGTTAAATAAATATATAAAAATATTTTTAAAATAGAAATATCTTTGAGATTTAATTTTTTAAAAAGTATACATTAAGAAAATTCAGAAAAGTATTTATAAAATAAAAATATTAATAAGATACTACACATTAATAAGCTAAAAATAATTACTAACCATATCCATATTAATTACACTGTAAGATACCAAAGTCAAGGTTAACTTCTTGGATAAGGAAGAAGAATCATCTCTAAAACCTTCAAAACAACAGGCTTGGATTTTATAATTTTTTTTTAAAAGAACATTATGCAATCTTATCTCATAGCAATAAAATAAGCAATAAAAAAACTTTATAAAAATTATTAAGCTATTTTAATATCCAATTTAGATTATTTTGAATCTAAACTCAAAGATTCCAAAAAAAATAAATAATTAAATCCAAAAAGAGGTATACAAGAATAAGAATCAAATAATAATTAAGAAGAATATTTACAAAATATAGCAACTTTGATCCTAATATAAAAATATATGAAAATATTTCAAAGTTGTTATATAAGTTGTTTCTAAGATAATTTACTTTTTTAAATCTATTTTAATAAATATGATATTTATTCAATAATCTCTAAAATTATCATTGGTTAAAATTGATATGATTTATTCCTTTAAATTTGCAAAAATAAAGAGTATCTAATTAAAATTACATCACACTTGATCTATTGGTAAAAACCATTTAAACAAGCAATTTTTTTGGAGTATGTTGATTTTTCTTGAAACATGTCATTTTCAATAAAGCCACTAATTGTAACATATGTGACTTTGGATTGTTGATAAACTTTAAGCCTTTAAATTCTTAACTTTGTGTGCTTATTGTGGTGATGATTTTGAAAATACTTTTGGTATTTTCTATAAAGGTCATGATAAACAATGACTCCAGTCCTACTCATTTCCCCCATCTGTGTTCATTTCTTTCTTACCAATTGGTGAAGAAATTGTTGAGTGAGAGGTCCAAATTCATCTTGGTCATTTTGTTGGTGGCCCTTCTAGTTTGTGTCAAGCACCAGAAGACAACCTGACGTTTGTTTCTTTAAACTGCTTTGTAAGTTGCTTGGTAATGGCTTTAGAATGTTGACAAGTAGCTCCGTTGTCGGGTCCGCTGCAATACCTAGGTTTTGACTTCAAACGATGGCTTCTACTATGTCGTGCACTTTTATATTGGTGCAATCTGAACTCAAGATCGTTCTATAATAAGCAGCCAAATGCAAGCATACCGTCATCTAATCTATACATTAGGTGTAATGGTTGGTTGGTATGATCCAAGTTGTGACTTTGTGTCCTTATTGCTCGATTTCGGACTTCCTGATGCCTTTTTACCTCCCAGTCCAGTTGGATGGGAGCAAGTCGGATGAAACTTGCCATCGAGGACGGAAAGCGCCTTTCAAATCGATGTGCAAATCCCAGAGCAGGCATTGGCGTAACATGCCAATTATCTGTCTAATTGTTCGTCTGTCGGTAATCTGACAACAGAAGCTCAAGTGAAAGGAATGGACCCATTCCTTGCTGATAATCCAGTGTACCAACAACATCGTGCTATCTGTCATTCTTTCTATCAACCTTGCATTCTGTTCTGCTCTCACTCTTGCTCCGAACATCCTGGTACGTACGATCTCTGCTCATGTTGGATGCAAGCAGCTTGTAATCTCTAACACACACTCATATACATACATACAAATTCAAATGTGAATGGTACAATGATCTGGGACTAATTATTTGAAATACAATGCTTGACTCCAAATTGCATACGGTAATTCTAACAGCTCCCCTATCCAACCCATCGCAGTATGTGAGTAGTTTGAGTCGGTTCAATCGGTTTCGATTCAGATGTAAAGAAACCAACTCCAGATATGTAACATATGAACGACTCTACCAGACTTCAACTCATAGGTCACCCTTGCAAAATAGAAACCTTGAAAGCAACGCCTGAACTGACGAAACACCTTCAACAACCTTCCAACGTTCATATGACAGAATAGTACCTGCAACGTGGAATCGCTCACCTCAAGTTGGCGCTCCAGCTCGTCTTTGGTTTGTTGTAGAAAGTGGAGAGGGGATGGGGTGGGGGGGTGGTTACGGTCCCCACGTTGAGAGGATGATCAAAACGAGCCGAGACCATCGGATGTGGCAATCCACGAAATAGCAAGTGCAGCACGGGCAACCGTGCGATGCGGGTACACCAGGTTTGCCGCTTTAGGCGTGAGTTCACAAAGTAGGCCTCCAGTGCGCCGTTGCCCTGATGCAAAGTTAACGATTAACATCGACCAGAAAAGAGAAATTCTAGAAAAGAATATATATAACAACTAACGCAAGAGCGTTGAAACGATGGGTATTGCGTCATCTGGTTCAGCGTTCAAGGAGCTACGTCACACACAACATACACGGAGAACTATCTAGCCATTTCACCACCGCCAATCACTTCATGACACACAAAGAAGAAATCTGCAAATAGTGTAACAAGATCAGCAAAGCAAAAGAAGCACGGCATCAAAACAGGAAGATAAAAGTTCAATTAGTAAACGAAACGCTCAGTAAACAGAGCAGAAATAATGTCGGAGAAAGACAATTCAGCACGCTCTGCATTCAAGCGGGGTCAAGGCCCATGACCTATTGAATTTATTTACTCATCACAGGTAAATGCAAACAGCATCACATATTCAACCCGTGCAAATCTGTGTAACAACACTTCGAGCCACTTTACTCAATCTGTATTCATGATGCTACGAGCAATATCTCACATCTCTACGCTTACAGCAAAAGCCAAGTAATAGACTAATCCGCTCGTTTATCTACAGTGATTCGGTGATTGATCTAAATTATTCATTTGAAGAAAGTTGAATGAATGGCTTCATCCAACACCCAGAGTTTAGTCTTTGACACGAAGCTTGCCGCTGATAATATATCTTTGTTGCATTCACCACCCTCCCCTTCCCAAGCTGGATGTGTTCGTTAAGTGCTGATCGGAATCTAGATGGTTCTCCATGAAATGGAATTTAATAATTTCTCGTTCGAATCCGATCCGCTTCTTCCATTGAGAACCCGTCATTGGAATGCATAATGGAGACTAAAACTTCAGCTGCCCCCCTCTTACCTAGCATTGGTCTCGGGATCCCCTCCCTGCACATAGAAAACATCGCACGTGGGCTCCATTACCTTCACGTTCTTACAGTGTCAGCACATGCCTGGATTAAGGCCTGCAACTATGCAAGAGCCGAAGAACCTCTACAAACTTCGTATTCATGCGATAGCAACACTTCAATTATTCTTAACACCATGACATATGCAGGGGTCGAACTGAAAATTCACCACCATGATCCGCCAAGCCATTGATGCAAGCCTACAACACCTCCAGCTTGCACATGAGTCACCAACAAGCTCACCTCTTCATTCCCCGGCGGAAACTTGGACCACGTTCTGAGGCTAGTTTCGGCAGCTGGAGTGACATACTCAGCGGCGCCTGTTCACTTGTCATATTCCGCAGCTCACCAGAGTTTGTGGACAGAGATGATTGTGATCGATTCTTCTCCTCATCCAACTCGAGTGCGGACGAGGAGCTCCCCACGGTGCCCAACGTTGGCTCCTCCGCCAGGAATTTGACCAGACCTGAAGTTATCAAAAGATTGAGTTGCACGTCATTCGATGCTCGCACTCTCACAAGGTTCAAAAGCCGAATGCGACGTATGGTTAGACACAAAGCCCAGATCACAGCACGTGCAAGCATGCTCCGGACTATTTACCAGTGAGAAAACGGAGCCCTTGAACGAAACTACCAGAGCTGCTTTTGGTTAATGTGCCCATGAGGCGATAATAAATTCCATACACTGGATACGGATGCACCATGTTGGGTTATCTGCTTACATGGTGACGGCTCGTACTGCTGGTACGTACCCCGACTCTCATGGACGAGGTACGCGAAGAATTGCTTCCTGGACAGGCTATCCCTCTTCCCACCCTTGTCCTGCTCGTAATCTTCTCTAGGGTAGATCAGACGTGTTGGCGTAAGCTGTTTGCAGGCGAGCTCCGCCAAGGGCATGTGGGTAAGCTCAGCCTCGAGCTTAAGCTTCGCTCGATCCTGGCATTTGCCACACGAGAAATGAAAGCATTGTTGGAGTTTTTGGTGTCGAGAAGCTGCTGCATTGGACCGAACAGGGGATGAAGGCATGTCAGTAGAATTTATAAGTGATCATACCTGTTTGCAAGATGCTGAGTCTGGTGCGTACCTGCGGGTAAGTGTGAGCGAAGAGAGGTGTGGTTTTTAGTAAGTTGCTGCAATCAATACTGACAGACACACCTAATTCGAGGAGTATACAGCAGCTCAGTAGCAAGCACGTTTCGGACTTGGTAGGACCCTTAGCAGCATACATATCTTTTTACATTGAATTCAAGGTTAAAAATGGAAAAGTGAGAGGGCTGGGCTCAAACTCCTTCACAACCGCGGAGATCAGGAAACTGAAATTGTGAAGCGATCGAGAGAAAGGTACCAAGATAGAGGCGCTTTCCGCCAACCCATGGCTCCCTACCAACCCGTTCCCACCAGAATGAATCGTAGGTCAGGCTAGATGGATTGTTGAATGACGCGGTGACCTTGTAGGTCGCTTCAGCAAAACGAAAACCCTGAGGGCAACGTGTTATTTGACGAAACGTCTTAACAACCTTCCAACATTCACTCGACAGAGTCATAACTGCAACGTGGAATCGCGCACCTTACGTAGGCGCTCCAGCGCCTAGTCTTCGAGTCGTAGTAGAGATGGGTGCGGGGGTTTACAGTCCGCATGTTGAGAGACTGATGGAAGCGACTCAAGGCAAACGAATGCGGCAATGCACCCAGTTACCTGACAAAGAGTGCTCGCAGCTGGAGCCCTTTTAATACAGGTCCCCAATCACCTCTCCTGTGGCGGTTCCAGGTTCCCTCTTCTGCTTTACATAATCCTGGATATTTAATACCAAACTACAAGACTTGGGCGGGGTTAACACACTGAGTCAGAAATAACAATATGCTCTCTACTTAGAACGCCATAAGTTCATCCTGGGAAACAAATCGTTAAAACAAATTCGCCCCTGAGCTGGTAGTTTAGAGCTACCAGTGAGCTATTCTAGGTGTTCAGAATCACAAAGCTCATAAATGTGTGGGACTGAAAATCGATGTCGCGCAGTTACTAATTGTAGCTTTACAATCAGCCGATGACTAAATCTCTCTTTCTGAGCCGCGTAGATTAAAATCAGACAAGGAGCAGTTCGATCCTGGGCACGGCTATATGGACAGTCCTTTCCCACAACACTGCCGAGACTAGTGACCGGAAACAATCACGACTCAAATCCCCGAGGCTAAACGAGAAAAATCTTTTCGCGGGGAACGTCGACCTTCAGTTCTATGTTGTTTAAGTCTCGGGGGATGGGACGCAAGAAATTTGAAGGTCATCTTCGCCAAAAGAGTCGAGACTTACACGAGGGTTCAGGGAATCGAACTTTGTCGTGGTAATGTGACTATGCCTTTACAAAATCATGAGCTCATCGCTACCGTTTCATCCTCACATCGCCAGTGTCGGCACAAACAAACAAACAAACAACAAAAATAAAAAATAAAAAAATAAAAAAAATTGCGGATCAAAATCTAACAAGAATCTCAGACTTTGCGGTTCTCTGCATCAGAAAGACGCCTCACATGATGAAGACATTTAGTTCTTTTGAAGATGTTGAGAAGTTGAATCCAGCAACGGCAAGGTAACGATTTACAGTATAGCGCAGTAGTGTGCTATCAAGCAAGGCCACTGAGTTCACTTAACGAATAGAAATGAACAGGTTAGGCATTAGTCTCTATCACTTAACCTACATGCACTCAAAGTTAGTATTTTAAGTCATGACACATTGCACCTTACAAAAGGTAGCAATTCCAACTCCTACACTAATTGGATAATTGTTAAACTTCATCTTTTTTGTCCCTTGTGACTAACTCTAATTGTAGTCATATACAACTTTACTCACATTATTGTTTTTGACTTTTGTGAATTATATATGGGATTGTCTTACCATCAAACTATATTTTGAATTTAAGAATATCTTAGAAAAAGATGTATAGTAATTTATTTTTTCAACTAAATCTTAAATCTATTAGTATTGGCTCTATCAATCCCATTTTGTTGTCAAATTATCCTTTTATGCCAATGAAGATGTAATAACAGCAAAAATTATAATATGTATATCTATCTATCTAGCTATATATATATATATATATAATATTCTATTAGTATAAGATTTGGTGGATATTTTATATTCTTCTATTTTAATGTGGTTTAATTCTTCTCATTGTACTTTTCTAATTATAATTAATTGGTATTAAGTCTTATTAATGAATTTATTAGTATATTCTTCTTTGTTAAATTTAGATGCTTAGCTTGATGATTTTAGTTATCCTATTCAATATTCTTTTTTTACTTATATAATACTTTGTACATTATTTAATTTTAAAGTATTATCACTTTAGATTAGAATTTTTTTCTTCTAGATTAAAAATATTGATACTTCTAATAATTAAAAAAAATTATATCTAATTATTTTAAATAAAAGTATCTAGACGTTTTTAATTATAATATTCATAATTTTTATATAAAAATATGATGTTATTATCTTTATTTTTCAATATAAGTATCTTGAAAAAAGTTTAGATAGTATTTTTTACAAGGTTTGTATTTATAGTTGTAATGATGATAAATAAATGCTTCAGATAATTGGTACATTTTTTTGATATTCAAACTTGAATATTTTTATCAAATATTAATTTAAATTTTTCTTTTTTTTTTTCTAAAATTTGATAATTTTATATTAAACTAATATAACATATTTATTATACATATTTTATATTTATGATTTCTTATTAATTTGCTACAAAGTAGTTAATATTTATCCAAATTGATTTCTTTGGATGTAATTATGTATTAAAATAGCACAGTATATTCTTTATTTTTATCCATATTTTATTTATTTATATAAAAAATTCTTTCTATCATATATATATATATATATATATATATATATATATATATTCTTTATAGTATTTGATTCTGATTCTCATGTTTTTTAAATACATAGAATAATTTTGACTAATATTAAAGACTTTCTTACTATGATTTTAATTTATAAAAAAATAGGTACATGATTCAAGTATAAATTGTAATGAGCTTTAATAAAAATATGTTTGTATTATTTTATTAAAGTCTATTTTTAAATTAAAACTATAATCAAATTTATTTCATTTTTTTATAATAAGATATTTTGACAAATGACTACTTATCATATCTATTAGTCTATTCTTTATTTTAGCTTATTCCAAATCTATTTATATTTTAAAATATTAAATATTTACATTAAATTCTTACATGTTTTAAAAAATTATCTTTTCACATTAAATTTCTCCTACCATATATTAAGTGGCTAATTTGTTAGACTCACTATTTGTTCTACCAACTTCAAACTATTGACTTGCAACTCTTTCTTGTCAACTAATAATTGTCTAAAAATTATAATCAAAAACGTTATATACTTCAAATATCAAATAAATTCTTAACTTCAGAAGATGCTTATTAAGTTATTTAAATAATATATCAACTTATAGACAAATGAATTCTATTAATTCTAAAATATCTTTCAATTAATTGTAATGATAACTAATTTTAATGACAAAAATTAAGAATAGAATTCTTATATGATTCAAAAAATTATAGAAGTAATATATATTAACATTTTATTATTATTAGAATAACAATATGATATATTTTAATGCTATAAAATTAGTCGAGATCAAATAATAGAAGTAAAACATTTTGAATTATAAAAACTTTTAAAAAATCTAAAATTTTCAATATAAATCTATTTTAGAAAATAATACATATATTTAAAATAATTTATTTTAGTTAAGGTCTATATTAAAATAAAAATAAATAATAAAATAATAAGATTGAAGTTTTTTAGTAGACTAATTAGCAACCATATTCTAATAGAATGTATAATTTTTTTTAATTTAACTAATTATAAATATAAAAATTAAATTCTATTAGAACAAAAAAAATATACTTTTAAAACTATAAAAATATTAATAACTTTTACTTTGATATAGATATTCATAGAATTAAGAAATTTTTATACATTCAATATGACCTTGTCATTAGTAATCAATCATGAATATGAATCTAGATACAACTTTTAAAAGATAATATTTTCATTTGATATTAAAAAATTATAAGATTAATAATAAAATAATATTTATATATATAGACATAAAGATAGAAAAAAAATATTTTTTAAAATTCAAGTTATTTAAACAATATTTAATCATGATCAATAAAAATTTAAAAAAACATTGATAATATTCAAGATGGCTCTAAACTTGCTCTATATATAATAGCTACCAAGAAGGCCTTGTAGAAGCTTTTTTAAGACTACAAGGCTTGTAGACTAAACATTTAAGTTAAAGGTTGCTTTCAAAAAACTTCCCAAAAGTAAGAAACTTTTAGAACAAATTTTAATAGTTAGGTGGCATATCTTAAAGAATATAAAAATCAAAGCCATATCTAAAAAGCTTATATAATATTTCTTAAAGAAGATATTATCTATCTTACAATGTTTCTATCTACTTCTATTTACTTCTATTTATTTCAATAATATATACATTTATTATAAAATCATAGCATAGAAATATTTAAAAATATATTTAAATCTTAGTTATACTTCAAAAAATTATCATCATTGATTACAATAGTCTAATGATTATCTTCTATGATAATGCCTTAAATTAATTTTAATTATAAAAAAAATTAATAATAATAATAATAATAATAATAAGTTATGTTTTTTTATTATTAATTAGATGGGATTACTATTTATTAATGTAATAAATGAACATTATATATATTTCAATAATTTTCTAAAATAATATTTAATTATTTAAAAATAAAAAATAATTTATTATTTAAGTATATCAAAAAAAATATTGTTTGAAAAAAATTATGCTTTTAATTTATAATAACTTTAAACTTTAAATATCTTTTGAATTTTTTTATAATGTTTTATATCTTTTAGATATTTTTACTTTTTCTACATTTAAAAAAATGATTAAAATTTTAAGACCCTCTATAATATTTTAAGATTTTTTAAAATCATTTTGATTTCTTGTTGTCATTTAGAATTTTCTAGTCTTTAAATTTTTCTATAAAAAATTATTGAGATTTTTGTGGTATTCTATAATTTTTACAGTATATTTTAGATGCTTCAATATTCACTAGAAAAATCAAAATATGCTATTATGCTATATATGATAAATTTTTGCATTAGCATCTTTAAAGTTAAAAATTATTATATTAAAGCTTGTACATATTAACAAATTATATGTCAATTAATATATTTTTTGTATTCTTCTTAAGATTACTCTCAATTGTTAAATTTAAGATTAAAGTAGATTTTATATTTTTCCAAAGTCAAAAAAATGCACAAAATATTTTTTCATGAAATTTCATAAATCATATTTTAATTATAGTAATAATAATACTTTTTAAAATTAATTTTTTAAATATAATTCTATCTTAGAAAATATTTCTAAAATATAAAAAAATCATTCTTAGAGATACCAAAGCACTTTAAAAACATATTAAAATTTCAGAACTTTCTAAATGACAACATTCTAGATCTCCTTACATCACACCACAATGCTTTTTAAAATGCAATGTAAAGACCTTATAACTAAGTTTTTATATTGGACTAAAAAATCATTCTAAGTTGGTATCTTCTAATCCTATGACATTTAGAACATAATTAGATCAATCTTTTAAAGTTAAAAAATCTTCAAAAATATACTATATATAGAAAATAATGTTGATACCTTATATAAGAGTAAAATTATCCTACTAAGTAGCTCCAAAGTTTACAAAGGCTATGCATACAAATGTTAATTGTTTTTACAGTGTTTTTTTATCAAATTTTATAAACTTTTCTTTTTTAAATACTTTAAATGTAGATTTTAATCAATTTCAATGAAGTTTGTATTCTTTTAATTTATTGTGTTAAATTTTATTATAAAAATGTTACATACATAATTTCATAAGCATGTAATTTAAAAAAGTGTATTTTGTGAAAAAACTATCAAAATATAAAAAATAATTAAAAACACATATATAATAATCTTCTAAGCATCCATTGTGTAACTTTAAAGTATGCATTTATTAAAAATTAATACTATATTTAAATTGATTTGATTTTTATTTAATTTTATTTGATGCTAAAAATAATATTTGAATACAAACGTTGAATAAAATACATATAGTTTATAAAACGTTGTGTTAAATTTATTGTGTTATATTTATATTGCCCTATTAAAAGTATTTAAATATTTTGAAA